TTTTTGACAGAAATTAATTCGTTAGATTCTGATTCTACTACCCAAAGTCTACTGAACATCAAGAAAACGCTCGAAAGTTTGTAAATAGAACAGTTATGACATGAAAACTCACTTTAATGTTCCCTCATCCAGTTTGTTTGGATATTGAAATGTGCAGATTACTTAGATTAATGCGTTATAGTTTTTTCTTTTGGGGGCAGACCTGAAAGTTGTTGCCGGGTTGTTAGCTTTTAACTCATATCTTTAAAAACCTACTTAATTATTTTAAGTAGGCAATCTACTGTGATATTTTTAAGCAGAATCCACTTGGAAAATTGAAGATGAGTAGGCGACTCAGAGAGTTCAAAGTCTGTCAGCTTAGCATTCTCATCCAAAAGGCACCTGAGAGTCACACTTTTATCTTAATTATTTAGTTTTGATTCAAGTGTGCAGCAGTTTGGCGGATTATTGGAATTGACGATTCAATTGAGGGACCAATTGTAGATGTTAAACTCGATATCTGCTGAAGGAATGCGTGAATCGCATGAGCAGATTCGGTATCCAATAAGCTAGACGGGTAATCTTTGCACTTACACACGTTTAAGTCGGTAATCCGACAATTTAAACGGCTTTTTCGACAGCTAAAAGGCGCCACATCTGTAAACACACACCAGAAAGAGACCACGTCTGCCACACACACACACACACGCCTACACATAAACAAAAGCACTGACGCATATCACCGGGAAGTCTGAAAGGTGGCTCCTCACACTTAGACGGCCCACGCCTAACAATTTCAGGTGGTGGCGGCTGAAAAAAGCACTCCAGTTGTAAAACTTGACTTACTAATTGTTTCGAAACGTATATACTACTGTGGTGTAAATAAGTAGTGTCATCTCGTATTGACTGTCAATAAACAAGTATTGTATTGTTCTAAAACCTTAAAGGAATCCAATTACACCGTCGTGAAGTGGTTGATGTTGAGATTATTCGTTCGCTGCTCTACGAGTGCACTGGCTATCAAAACGCGTCAGGATTTTGGTTTAAGAGAAAATGGAACCGGGGAAAAATGGTAAATTTGATCTTCGTGACGGATCAAAGTCTGGAACACCGATCGACAGGGACCTTCTGTGAGCTGAGCTTGAATTTCAACTCTATGATTTGCCAAGAAGACTTCGCAATTAGCCGCCTGCCCTATACACCAGTTACTTCAATTTATCAAGACCACTTTCTTACAGTTCCGCAAAATGTTGCCCTTTTACGAAAAATGAGCAAATTCTGGTGTATTTTGCTTCTTATTAACCGTGTTAATGCTTACAAATGCCTAGTTTTCCGTCTACAAACGACAACTAATTTAGACACACGTACTTTCTCGAAATCCGACTGACATTAATTCAGTCGCGACAAAGCCGAATCGCTACCGGCGTGACTTTATCTGCAATCACCTCCTCAGATCACGTCTTGGACGCTGAGGTGTCTGCTTTTGAGCTAATTTCACCAGCTTAGTCTAAAAAAGAGATGCTACATTCATCGGAGGGCGGAGGGGCACCTAGACTGCACTCTGATTGGTTCGTGAGTCACCAAGATTAGACGACGTCAGACCCTTTTGGCGCTAATCTTTACGTCTGTTCATGTAATGCGTGCTCAGTATTTCACGACAAGATTATGAGCTTTGAGCCGATTTCAGAAAATCCGAGACAGTAGATTTTAGCAAAAAAGCGCTCCTCAATAATCCCACCCCTCCTCCTTCAAAATCCGCCAAAGCGTGTATTTTTTGGTAATACATGAAATCAAACTAATGAAAAGACCTTTTTTCCGAAGCCTCAGGCTCGCTGAAATCTCCGTATTGATTGATCGATTGAATTTTAACCCATACCAATATCAGCAAATCCTAATCCCCGTGTTAGTTTTTCCTGCTTATAAATTCGACGTTTAAGGGGTTAACACGATGAGTTTTACGAATTGGAGGCAGCGACAGTCACTAATGAGCGCTCATAATCGCCCGTATGCTGCCCACATGAAATCGACCGTTCAAAGAAGACAATTCACATATCGTTCGTCAGACCCAAGCCGATTACTTGTCTTCTAGCTTGAGACGAAGAAGCTGGCTTGTTAGGTGCTTGGCTGAAGCCATCGTAGAGCCAAAATCTACTACCAGAAAGGTCTAAGCTCAACGCAATGCACGCAGAGTGGACGTGTTTGTCTGCAATTTGTTTTTATTTGCACATTTGAGAGAGAGAGAGAGAGAGGAGAGCAAAGGTCACTTGTGCTTCTGTGCGAGCATCACTCGGATTTTCGTGCGCGCCGGTGCCGGTGCTTGCGTGCGGCCGCGTGTGCTCATCCTGGCGACAATGCAGGCTTGCCAGCGCATTCCTCGAGGCATTGAACATTGCCCCCGAACTTGCCTCACCACCACCACCACTCCTCGACTAACACACAAACTCAATATCAAAGTGTGGTTAAGTGGCGTGGTGTGACAAGCTCACGTCTACGTGGGGCTGTGTGTCTGTGTTCGCCGCCGATCCACGCATGCTCCCGTCTCACTGCCCACATCCTGCTCCGACTGACCTCAGGCGTCACGTGGAACTGACTTGGGCACCCACGTCACATCCTCCAGTATCGATTTTTCGCTCAATTAGCAACATTCTCACACTGGGCGACACCAAAAAGTCTCGCTGCACGTAAACCTAGCAGGTTCATTCCATGGGAATATGCAAATCATGGCTCCGGTAGCAGCCTCAGCGTGAGTCACTCTCCGCAACAGTGGGGGGGGGTAGTGGGGCACTGACCCACCTCTACGTGGGGTCACCAAGCCAGCTGTGAGACACGAGAAGTGGGAAAGTGCAGGGACTAAGATTAAGTAGCTAGATGGTGTCTGTATCACCGCAGCAACTACAGCCACTGTTTACAATATACGGGGTCAGCCTGGAGCTGCGCCCTCTCCAGTAGAGGGGTCAAGTATGTGAAAGACTGCGATTTATTTTTAAAATAAACTTGTCTCATTCACTTCTCCATAAGTCGCTGACCTGACTTGGCGAATAAATTTACTGAGTTGGGCTGGTAAAAATATGTCCTAGTTCAATCTCAATACACGACGGGCAAACCGCGCAACGCCGCAACACAAAGCACTGTGCAATGTTTTTGCAATTAACATCTGTCGGTGAAAACACCGACGCGAATGTGGTGCCAAGTTATTACGAAGGTAAAACGAAAATATCCGCCCTCATCGGTAGTGCCACATACCAATTGACTGGGTGGAATTAAGCCAAATCAAAGTGCCACATCTTGGTAGTTACTAAATGCTGCAATACCTCGATTGTAGACGTCGACGCTTCAGATTCCTCCTCGATGGCTTCTGATGGAACTGAAAGTTTTCTGCTGCCTTGTGCGAAAACGACACGCCGCCCAGATCAAAACACCGTCAACGCTCAGAATCGAATTCTCGCTGGAGTCTTTTAAAACATTTTGTGGTTTCCTTAAATTTTCAACACTGTTTTAACCTTTTAAAACTTGGAGGGTTGAACTGATACTCCCCTTAATCCAACCCCCTTTCACGGGTTTGGGCCCCGCCTAATCCGCTTGTCACGCCCACTCGGGGGTTATCATTTGTGCAATTCAATGCTGCCAGGCTCAGATCACAGCAACGCCTTGTCTTTGGTTCGATTTGAAGCCCCGCGAACTGACGACTGGGCGAAGAAACTGGGATCAAAGGCATTTGGCGTGACTTATTAGCAAGCGCGATGTTGAGAGGCGGTTTTCTGACAGAAGCCTTGCATCATGGAGTGCAGGAAGCTGTTGAACAAGTCGGAGGCTTCGTCTTAGGCTGGCACTTTAGCCCTATTGTCACGAGTGATCACACCACAGACAATTGCAGAACGTAGCCTGAGCATCGTCAGTTAGTACCCACTTGAGTTAATTCGTTGCCCGCATTCGCACCAAGCATTAAACAAAACTAGTAAATACCACTTTTGCAAATTTTCCTTAAGAATCGAAAGTGACTCCGTGGGCTTAGGGAGAGGATTTAACGGTTGGGTGTAGTTGATGATTGTCTGATAAAGTGAAGCAAGTCGAATTGAGGTAGTAACTTAAAAATAGCAGCAGTGTGAACAGCGAAAACGCCGATGACGTCTATATTCGCCAAGTCACTCTGATGATGCAACGAAGCTCCACTAGAACGTGCATCGACGCACATCAGCTAGGTAGGTGTTGAAGTGACCGAGCCGCTGTGTTTGGCTGAAGTAGGGTTTAAACAAACTCTCGTCGTCCATAAATCGATTCACGTACCCTCTATGGCTCCGAGATTGTCAGTTATGCTTATTCTGGCATCCATACACCTTGAAAAGTTAAAGTAATCACAAAATCAGGAATGCTGTTCTCCCTAGTGCTGCTGATGCCAATTAAAGGTTCCTATGTGGCCCTGTGCAGAAGACCAGAGATATGGCAGGCAGATACAACTGGTTCTATGGACCCCACACCTGATGATCAGTTTCAACTAAAAACAACGCTGAGCTGGTAGAGTCTGCTAGTCAAATTTGGGCAATTTTTACGTCGCAAGCATAATTCTACCAGAAGACATCGTCTGGCGGGTGAAATACGGACTTTCTTGCTCATTTTAGAACCAACGAAAGCGGATCTGGTGGAATCGACTTCTCATTGCGTGAGGAGCAGCAATAGCAATGACCACCATCAAGTTGCCTTGCTCCAGTGCGCACACTCGAAGCGCCTGCGTAGGACGGTGGCCGCGATTTCTGTAAACACACACGCACACACACACAACTCGGTTTGCGTGTGATATTTTCCGTCCAGCCTCCGCACAGCATAGGCACCTCAGTTGGCGTGACCGATCAGCACCACGCAGCGATTGTGTCATCAGGCGACGAAGCAGAGCGCAGCCGTGTTTATGCCACGCCCGAGTGGGCGGCGCAGTCGGACACGCACGCACGCACGCACGTGAACGCGAAAGCCTGCTGTAAAGCTTTGAATCGCGTCTGCGGTCGCTGAAAACTGTGCTCAGTAGTGGCTAACAGTACTGCGCGTGCGTTCTCAGCCAGTGCCGATTTTTGCTGTAGTCTTGCATGCGAAAGAGAAACCAACCATTAGCAAGTGGACGCAGTATGTACACAAATCTGAGGTCTGGTTAATGGCAATCGATTTTACCCCCAAATTTGTGCTGTGCTCAAACGTCCACCCTTGAGAGGCCAGTGTGTCCAAATTTTCGAAGGGAACGGGCTGATTTAGTTGTGACATGTTACAGTTGGGTACAAGAGCACACACTAGCCTTACAAAGTAGTCAATTCACCAGGTGTTAGATTTATGTTAAGACATCAACTGTTCATGGTTGGTTCAGTCGTGGCTAGTCCACCCAGACGGACGCACCTTAACACAAAGAGGTGGAGGTTGTTAGTTCCGCTTTGACAAGCCCCTGGTTTACCTTGAATGCCTTTACTTGTGAAAGCATCCACTTACAGAAGTGCATCCAAATTTTTCCTCATTTGAAGTTGTCCATCATCATGTAAAATGACCAGCACATTCTTTCATCTCTGATGACTGACAATTCAAGTCGCTTCTGAGACATCAAACTACGAAATGTCAAATCGTCGATTGAGATTCGCGATTTCTGTTAATCAGTGAATAATTCTTTGAGTCTACAGCAACGTCCTTTCAGGTATGAGCAATTTAATTACTGCTCTTAAATCGTCACCTCAGGGATAGAGTGAGAGGAGGGCAGGGTTTGTTCACCCTTCATTATTTAAGTCCACGTTGGAAAGGTCGGAAGGTGTGGTTAATCGTGTTGATTCGCATCCATTAACCCGGTCGTCGAAGTCCCAGACACACGTCCCACTTTTTGCGGCGTGCCTGTCAGCCATGCGGGACCACTTGCTCATCCACTCATGTGTGTGTACCATAACCACCCGCTTTATCCACCTAACCATGGGGACGTTTGTGCTTCTACTAGTTCACCAAGACTGTATTAATTACGCGCTACTTAGTAAACAGTTGTGCTTCGCCATATTTGGTCTTCATTTCCGCGTGTGTCGGCGTAGCGTAAGCTGGCTAAATTCAACATGGTGGTCCTGGCTTGATTCAGGTCAAAATGCCGCGGCCCTCAAATATTGGTGACCTCGAGGTGGCAGCCCAGAATAAATGCTTCGATGACTCCAGGCTAAACGATGAAGCAACGGAGCGACACGATACAGACACGACGCCGATTTGTAATTGTCGCAGCCTACCCGTATAACCAACACTCTATTGAGGCACAATAGACAAGCCTGGTGTTGAGTACGTCGACATATTGCAACGTCAGCAATCTCAAACACAGTTGGTCTTGACAAAAAGTGTTCAAACGTTTTAACAAAATTTGACAACAGTATTTTAAGCGATGTTGTCTATTTTTAAAAGCTTAAAGTGATGTAAATAGCTAAAAGGTACAAAATTAGTTTCAATTCGTCACGGTGATTGCAGTTTATGCTACGAGGCGCGATTTATCGTTACTTAACTGTCTGACTGAAGGTTTTATAGTGTTGTGAAGTTAATAAACAGTCGGCAAAGCAAACGCACATGGGTGACACGGCGTGCCATCGTAGACTCGCTTACTTCCACAAATGGATTCGTTCAACAAAATTCCTTTCACTTGTCGTATAGACGCATAGGTTAGCACGAGGCACGTCTCAACCGGTTAAATTCGATTTCACGACAGTTTAATGCAACATCCCATAAATTTAGACAAGTGCTCAACGCTGCACCTCAAATCGCAGTCGTGGCAGCCATAAAACCATAGAAACTGTGAGTACTCTCCGTACTCGTCGCGATCAAACAAATT